ACAGGGTGGCCAATTAAGATTGCGAGGTACTGTATCTGGGAAATTATGTATCGTAGAGGATTGCGGTAAAAAGAATTATTACTAAAACGGCCAAGAGAAAAACCTGGAAAATATTTTCAAGTTTCTCAAATGACCGCTAGGGGGTGTAACTGCAATATTGAAACTAAAAAAGTGATATTTTTATGAATTCCGCTATATTAACCTAACAATAAAATACCAGATCTTTAAAGTCGAGTATAATATGAACCTTTTTTGTTTAACAATTTTTGCTGTATCTCTAAAAAATAAAGTGGTGAGTGTTATTCAAATGTTTCCCTAAAAAACACCCTGTATCTTCGAAACGGCTGAGCCGATTTGAACAAATTTGGGCTAGTTGAAAAGAGCTATTCTTGGGTTACAAAAGTTATATTATTTAAAGTTTTGTTAGATTCACGTGTCGCTAGTAGAGCGCTTTTTTCGACATTTCGATAGAAATGGTTAATTTTCTCAAAAAAATTAAATGCATTGGTATGATTTTTTTTCGATATCTTGTTCCTAATATAAAATTTAGGCCAAAGAAAATTTTATACGGAAATTCCTTCTATTATTTGTCTTCTTCAATAAATTTCAATATTCTCAAAAAAAGATGTTTAATTTTTGATAAAAAAAAAGAAATCTAGAAAAATTAGTTTAAAAAAAAAAAGACTGGATTTCAGCAGGCTAAGAATTTAACATTGATTTCTCTATTATGCGAAATTAAATTTCCAACGGTGTATACGTATATACATAAGAAGCTTTTAACTTTTAACCGTTCGTTATATTTTAATGGTTCGTTAATTTTATCATCGCCCGAAATCTTTACGATGTTTTTCACCCGCCGTCTCTCGATTCCCGCCGCCCCATTTAAAGTCCGCCCGTCCGGAAAGTTTCGTTAGCGCAAAAAGGAATAGGATTTTCATTTACATGGCGACCGTTAGCCCGGAAAAATTTGAATAATGTCCGCATTTAGGGCCCTACTGATTCGCCGTCGGTAATAAATTCGCATTAGAGACATAAATACGCCATTTGTATACAGTTTCCAGCCGAACCGACGACTGCCGTTAACGTCTTATTTTTCGGCGTCGTGACGCTAAAACTTCATCCGTGCCTAAGGGATCGGAAAATCCTCGAAATATCCTTTTTTAAAGCGACGCCGAGCGTTCGACGGAAACTTCTTAGTTCTCAGCACCCCTATAACTAACTTAATTTACCAACTCCGGTGACATCTTATTTTCCGATTTTATGATACAATACGCTTTTAATAACTTTCAAGATAACGTTATTAACTCAAATATTTAATTCACTCTATAGGATATAAAGTTAACATTAACATTACCTGATTCCTATTATTATAACTACACCTTGATCCAATTCTGATTGCAATATGGTCATTTCTATGAGTGGAAGAAGAAAGATTATTAAAATGACAGTTGTCAGAGTGACAAGTTGCAATGACACAAATGTCACTCTTTCCTTTTTCTTTGTAAGTGTCTAATGGAAGTTGTCTTTATCGCACCCATGGATTATATAACCTATATTGCAATCAAAAATGGAGCAACCTGTATAGACAGAAATTACTTGTAATATTAATGAGTATAATGAGGTTCCTAGTTAAAGACGCGTCTTTCATTTGACAGATTTACATTGTTGTTATGGAGTAACTAGGGAAATTCTTTCAATTGACAGTTTTACATTGTTGTTATCTAGTAACTAGTGAGATTCTTTCAATTGACAGTTTTACATTGTTGTTATGGAGTAACTAAGGAGATTCTTTCATTATTTGACAGTTTTACATTGTTGTTATGGAGTAACTAAGGAGATTCTTTCATTAATTGACAGTTTTACATTGTTGTTATGGAGTAACTAGGGAAATTCTTTCAATTGACAGTTTTACATTGATGTTATCTAGTAACTAGGGAGATTTTTTCAATTGACAGTTTTACATTGGTTGTTATGGAGTAACTAGGGAAATTCTTTCAATTGACAGTTTTACATTGTTGTTATCTAGTAACTAGTGAGATTCTTTCAATTGACAGTTTTACATTGTTGTTATGGAGTAACTAAGGAGATTCTTTCATTATTTGACAGTTTTACATTGTTGTTATGGAGTAACTAAGGAGATTCTTTCATTATTTGACAGTTTTACATTGTTGTTATGGAGTAACTAGGGAGATTCTTTCAATTGACAGTTTTACATTGTTGTTATCTAGTAACTAGGGAGATTCTTTCAATTGACAGTTTTACATTGTTGTTATGGAGTAACTAGGGAAATTCTTTCAATTGACAGTTTTACATTGTTGTTATCTAGTAACTAGTGAGATTCTTTCAATTGACAGTTTTACATTGTTGTTATGGAGTAACTAAGGAGATTCTTTCATTATTTGACAGTTTTACATTGTTGTTATGAAGTAACTATAAGGACATTGTTTGCGTTAAAGAGACCTATATTGCAATCAAAAATGGAGCAACCTGTATATCTCGTGATAGCGAGCAGAGTATAATAATAACCTATGATGACATCTAACATTAAGACATATCGCACATGATTGGCCTCTTACTCGGTGGGATTGTTAGCTCGGCCAAATTCTTCTGGTCTAATTGCGATTGGAGTGGGCGTTCCGTCGAATGTGAACCCATCAAAGTAAATTGGGGAATACCAGCAATTAATCCGAAGCGCCCGGAAGAGTTCTCTCGACGGAAAGAGCACCATAATAACAGTTATTAAAGATGTAATTACGCGAACAATCCGGCCGACAGGTGTCATATTTTCGTTTCCGGTTGGCGTGCGCTTGTCGAAAGGAGAAGAAAAAGAAGAAGAAAGAAACCTAACGCGCCCATTACATCATTAGTCGGTTTGGAGAAAAAATAACAAAATGGTATTCGGCGCTAATTGGGCGCTGTCTTGTTTATCATAAGAAACACGAATCGTTATTTCTTTGATAGTTTTGGTCCGAGACTGACACGTCCTTTGTCCGTCGGCGAATCCGCCGAGTCACGATGCCCCTTTTTCCTCTCGTTTCTAGTCTTTCTTTATTATTTTTTTTTTCTTCTTTATATTGTTATTATATCGATATATACGTGGGCGCGATTTTGTGCTTAGTAATATCCGAACGGCTCGATGTCGAATTTCAACAAACTCGTCATTTAGAACTTAATTAGTATGTTTACATTCGAAATAATAGGCGATGTACAGCGCTTCGAAATCGTCTTCTACTTTTTCCTCGTTAAAAGGCCTCCACTTACTCGGATATTCAACCCACGTTTGATACGTCACTTTACAATTCCTATCAAAAATCGAGTAGCTAAAGTTTCAAATAAAGTACAAAGTTTCCTATTGCAACATGGTCATTTCTATGAGTGGAACAAAGAAAGATTAATAAAAGAACAGTTGTCAGAGTGAAAAGTTGCAATGACACAAATGTCACTCTTTCCTTTTCCTTTATAAGTGTCTAATGGAAGTTGTCTTTATCGCACCCATGGATTATATAACCTATGCTGCGATCAAAACTGCTTCAAAACTATTTTAAGATGATTGTTGCCTACCTCAGTGTTATGTATAAATCGCAAACACTAGACACAAACCAATCCAATAATCAAAAATTCAAATATAATAATAATACGACGCCATGACAGTTATGAAGCAGATGTCAAATGTCATAGTGTCAATGCCAGTGCCGAAAAAGGACGCATCAACATTGCCAAATGTCTAATAGCTATTTCTTATTTCTACTTTTCTTTTACTACAAATAAGTAATCGAGAAGCTGTTTTGTACAATAATTAGCTAATTAAAATGTATACGCATTTAAATAGTATTACTGCATTTCAAAACAATTATTTTAGATAATAAATAAAAATATTTTTATCGTACATAGTACATTTTAAAAGAGTGAAACATTACAACAAATGTGTGAATCTGGCAACAAGGGCGAGTTTCCTAATGTATCTGTTATATACTAATAATTACGTTCAGATTTTTAAAGCGCATGCTCAATTGGTAGACCAAAACAAAGATAAATCTATGCTGAATTCCATAGAGTAAAAAAAGAGAATATAATTTAGGCATGTTGTAGATGTTGGCAACAGAAACGTAAATGTAATTCTTATGGCATTGATGCATCCACGTTAAGGTATGATATTTTTCATCTTCGTTTCACCTATGATTAATGTCAAATGACGTCATGATTGATTCCTGATGAAATTGATTTATGTGAATATAGGAACAAATTGTTGGATGGTTGGAAATTTTGACGTGGACGTTGACATTGACAATTTGAATTTGAATTTTTAAATTTGAGGGAAATTATAAAAAATGGAGTTTTATTTGATTGCAAAAAATATGTTATATTCATCCGATTCATCATCAGAACCTGAAAGTGAAGAGTCCTCAAATAAAAGTGGCAGTGATGAGTTATTGTAACTATTTTTAATAAACAAAGAAATCAATAAAACTCATGCAATAGCAGATTTCGGAATCCATTGCAAAGCAAAACCAGCAAAACAAATTAAAAAATTGTTGTTCCACGTTGAATGCACAACTTCAACATGGAACATCAGATCATAATCGAAACCGATCATGGAATGAAAATATGGCTTATAATTCATCTGTCAACCAAATCAATCCTCTTCAAAATCCGATTAATCAGATGACCAATCGCCGTTTCATCGATGAGAAAAAGATCGTCGACAGATGACAAACGTTGAAAAAATCGCTGAATAAATGAACAGTTTGATGACACCGATTGTTCAACCGCTGAATAAAAGATCACACCTTTAGTATACACGATCTAAGGTACCAACGTTAAAATCATCTTCCACTCTACCACCATTAAGGCCTCCGTTTACGCGGTTATTCGACCCAACAACACACCCCGTTCGATATGACATAAGCGATCCGTCATTCTACATATTTCGATCAAAATCTCTCGCACGTAGACCATCGATCGGGACCGCTATATCGTTCGCCTAAAAAAACACAACAACGATGGCCCTGGCTATGATACATTCCTGCGGCCTGGCCAGGAAGTGCTACTCGCCATCGGACAAATGCAACAAGAAACCCTTCAAGCCCAACGAGCCCTTGTGCGGCCAGCGGATGTGCCCCCGGCCAGCCGCCAAAAAAGGCTTCCCCTTCTCCAAGTACATCCCTCTGGGGTTCTTCAAGAAACTACTGTGCAATCCCTGCGTAAGTACAAATAAGTCCCGCTGTCGAAGCCTCTTCTAGCACCAACCTAGGTTTCTATTCCGCATGACATATATAGCCCTAATTCCTGCTGTCTTCTCTAGCACCAACCGGTTTCTATTCTGTCATATATAGCCCTAACTCCTGCTGTCTTCTCTCCGGGGCTCCGATCTTCTCTATACAGCGGGCGTGTGTTTTTCTGCTTCCAGTTTAGAGCGGCAGGCGGCCTGCTGGCCGGTCTGGTCCTGTTGGACATGGGCGCGAGCGCGCTGCTGGACAAAGAGTCCTGCGACTCCTGCCACTGCGAGTTTTGGAAGACCCGGGCGGCGGCGAAGGCGGAGCGAAAGAGGAAGTGCGAAGAGCAGTGCAAGCGGCAGAAGGCCGAAGAGGCGAAGCGCCGCGAGGAGATGAAGCGCAGGAGGGAGGAGGAGAAGGCCAAAAGGGAGGCGGAGAAGGCCAAAAGGGAGGCGGAGAGAGCCAAGAAGGAAGCCGAGAAGAAGCTGAAAGCGGCGCAGAGTAAATGCTGAATGGAAATGGCACGTCGCAGGTCGTTGAATTTTAGGATGTTATTTAGTTTATATACCGGGTTTCTTCTATGTAGATGTGTTCGAGTTGAGGATTAGGAGTGTTTTGGAAGTGAACTGTTTATACAGGGTGTTTCATTGGGAAAGGGCATTATTTTAACCCTATGTAGAGGTTACCCAGGGGATTACAAAAAACCCATATACTATGGGTCTTGCGCCGTTTATAACCGAGTTGCAGGGTGTTTTTTGAATTTGGCCCATTTCTTTCGACACCTATAACTTTTGAATCACTCAGTATATTTTTTTTTTGATATTTGGCATAGATATTCTATACCTTTAGGACAATTTATTGCCACATTAAAAAATTATAAAATCCAGGTCCGGATTTAGAAAAATTAATAAAATTTGACCGACCCTAAAACAACACCCTACATCATATTTTTAAAAATTGAATTTCAAATTTAGATAGAGCATAAAAAACTGAACGTTTCGTCAACTTTTTATTTTCCCGCATGCCGTTTTTCTACCAAAATTTAAACGTTAAAATGTACATTATGAGATTTTTGGTCCATGTAAAATGTAATTGAAGGGATTTTAATTATTTCTTCTTTAATAAAACCAGATTTACTTAACACTTTCATGGAAATTTCTGAAATTAACCTATTGAACTTGAATTAACATTCACATAAACCAATAAAAATCACAATTACAGATCCCCACTTAATAAAATTAAAATGATTTCAATTCATTTAATAATTAATCATTAATTAATCAATTTTTACAATTCTATATGAGAAAATTCAAAACTTAACTAAGTAATTTACTAGATTTTTTAAAAAAGATTCTAGGCGCGTTTTTTAATGTGGTATCCCCAATAGGTTTAATCCACACGAACTGGCAAAATGGAACAATGAATAAAAGATATTAAAAATAAACAAAAAAAATTAACAAAAAACAACTCAAAAAACAAACAAACAAGAAATTTGGTTTTTAACCAAATAATTAACAGCTATACCAATTTAATACTAACTTTTCATTTTAATACTGAATTTTCTCATGTAGGAATGTAAACATTGATCAATCAATGATTAATTATTAAATGAATTGAAATCATTTTAATTTTATTAAGTGCGGGTCTGTAATTGTGATTTTTATTGGTTTATGTGAATGTTAATTCAAGTTCAATAGGTCTACTTCAGGAATTTCCATGAAAGTGTTAAGTAAATCTGGTTTTATTAAAGAAAAAATAATTAAAATCCCTTCAATTACATTTTACATGGACCAAAAATCTCATAATGTACATTTTAACGTTTAAATTTTGGTAGAAAAACGGCATGCGGGAAAATAAAAAGTTGATGAATACATTCAGTTTTTTATGCTTTTTCTAAATTTAAAATTCAATTTTTAAAAATATGATGTATAGGGTGTTGTTTTAGGGTCGGTCAAATTTTATTAATTTTTCTAAATCCGGACTTGGATTTTATAATTTTTTAATGTGGCAATAAATTGTCCTAAAGGTATAGAATATCTATGCCAAATATATAAAAAATATACTGAGTGATTCAAAAGTTATAGGTGTCGAAAGGGCGCAAGACCCATAGTATATGGGTTTTTTGTAATCCCCTGAGCGACCTCTACATAGGGTTAAAATATTGCCCTTTCCCAATGAAACACCCTGTATTTTTTTTCCAGGCCGTGTGCATGATAGGGTCCTTTTTGGCAGGCGCTTATCTCTACGATGCCTTTTTCAAGCCGCTGCTGTTGGGACCCGGTTTTTCGAAGTGCGATTGTTGGAAGAACAAGGAATTGAAGCACGTGCAACGGCCGAAGAAATGCTTGAAACAACCAAAATGCAGAAGTGTTGATAAGAAATGAGAGGAACAACGCGGGCGAATAAGTCGCGATTCGAGGTCGAGACGAATAAAAAATTATTTTAAAAGAAACGTGCGTTTGTGTTTTTGAAGGGGATTAGTTCGGTTGGGGGGGGGGATTTTTGGGTGGAATATAGAAGGGGGGTGGTGGTTATGAGAACGTAAATCATTAGGGGCGACACGCGTTGCCCCCCGTGGTGTCGAAAAAAGCGGTTATTTGTAGAACAGTTGTAAAAAATAATCTCGATTATTATCGCGCGAAATGCATAAGTAACGAATAGTAAGGGTATATATGGGGTGTTAATTAATTGTATGTCGATACTTCAGGATGTGAATATTTGGTTGATTTTAAGAAGAAATGTTTATATGAATGTATGTCCTAAACCTCTTAGTTTTCGAGCTACGGGGTGTTAAAATTTTAGAAAAAAATAACTTTTTTATTATAATTTTCTTATTATTCCAGTTATTTTTAAGCATATAAAAATAGTTAAATTATACCATTTTTTTGGCGATATTATGACTATATTTTAAATGTACTTAAGCTAATAGTTTTAAGCATATTCGTGTGAGAATTTGAATTTGTTGCCTTTCAAATAATGTTTTGACTATTTCTATTATTGCCGATACTTCAGGATGTGAATATTTGGTTGATATTAAGAAGAAAAGTCCTAAACCTCTTAATTTTCGAGTTACAGGTTGTTAAAATTTTAGAAAAAAATAACTTTTCTATCATAATTTTCTTATTACTCCAGTTATTTTTAAGAAATTTTGTATACACTTTTTAATTATTAAGGAGCATTTTTTGAGGCATAAGATTTTTTAAAATTTTCACCAGTGACGTCCGTACGGGGTTTGAACTGAATATGTTTGAAAAAAAAAATGGTACACCACTGCTTTTTCTAAAAACTAAAATTATTTTTAAATTCCTCATTTATTTTGTAGCAAATTCGGTCAGAAGACTTATTTTCGTACGACGTACCATTTTCGCGTAAAAAAATAAAAACCAAAACAATTTTTTCCCAATTTAATTTTGAGACAGCTTTTGATATTTTTTTGAAATTTGATAGGCGCCCACCATGCATGGAAACACTTTTTTTTGGGGATAAAAATTAATTTTCTACCATTACCAGTGACGTCCACATCCAAAATTTCATAAAAATATCTGCCGTAATAACAAAATTATGACAGAAAAGTTATTTTTTTTCTAAAATTTTAGCACCCTGTAGCTCGAAAACTAAGAAGTTTAGGACATAAATTGATATAAACTTTTCTTCTTAAATAATAATAATTAAATTATAAATTATAAATAATAATAATCTTTAATAATTAATTATTATACAAGTAGGTGCAAATTTGTATGCATTATGGTGTATAGGTGCAACAAAGATAGTCCCCTATAAAGGAAAAAGAAAGAGGTATATTGCAACCATGTATCTAATTTTAACCACTGTTATTTTAATAACATTTCTTTGTTCAACTCATACAATATTGCAATCAAAATCTACTAGATTTGGGCATCGAATAATGTTTCATTTTTGTTTCTCTCTAAAAATTCAAATCACAATTCACTTTTCCCATAATATTTCAACGTTTCCAAGCGACCAGATTCTAATTTTTTTTTCGTCGCGGTAAATATTTGAGTAATGATTGTGGGATATTCGGTTTGAATGGTAAATGCCAATTTAAAATTTATTAATAACTTGGAGTGGCATTTCGACAACGGCCTTTGAGATGCTAGAGTAAATAATCCGGCCAAAATCAACAAGCCGGTACGGTAATTATGTTATAGAGACCTTTAGTGTGCTCGAAACGTTTTCAACAGTCATCTTCCGTACAGGCTTGAACTGAGCCTTTTGTTCGGACATTATAGAAGATAATTATTGTAAAAAAATAAGATTAAATTTATCAATAGGTTATATACTTCGATCGCCATCTGGCGGTACCTAAAGAACCTATTATTTTTTGTTTATTTGTTTGGATTTATCGCCTGATAGCGAACGAACTATAATTTTACTTTAGGCTTTTTGCTATAACTCCCGATTTATATACTATATGGGTTTTTTGTAACCCCCTATATTAAAGCGTTAAATATTGTCATCTCCCCAAAGAAACACCCTGTATATGTAGATAGTGATACTAATTATTGTTGAGTTATCAAACTATATAAAATAGTCCTGAAAGCGTCCTAAATGATTTTGAATAGTTCTGAAAGAGAGTCTGAACAGTTCTAAATCATTTTAAACAGTTATAAATGATTCTGGACATCAGTTTTAATGCGTCTGTACAATTCTAAATGATTCTGGACAGTTCTAATTATTTTGAGCAGTTCTAAATGATCCAGGACAGATTTTAATGAGTCTGAAACAGTTCTAAATGTTTTTGAACAGTTTTTTAATGAGTCTGTACAATTTTAAACGATTCTGGACAGTTCTAAATGATCTAGGACAGATTTTAAAGAGTCTGAAACAGTTCTAAATGTTTTTGAACAGTTTTTTAATGAGTCTGTACAATTTTAAACGATTCTGGATAGTTCTAAATGATCTAGGACAGATTTTAAAGAGTCTGAAACAGTTCTAAATGTTTCTGAACAGTGTTTTAACGGTTTTGAACAGTTCTGAGCGAGAATCTGAACAGTTCTATAACATTTTGAACAGTTATAAATGATTCTGAACAGTTCTAAATTATTTTGAGAAGTTCTAAATGATCCAGGACAGATTTTAATGAGTCTGAAACAGTTCTAAATGTTTTTGAACAGTTTTTTAATGAGTCTGTACAATTTTAAACGATTCTGGACAGTTCTAAATGATCTAGGATAGATTTTAAAGAGTTTGAAACAGTTCTAAATGTTTCTGAACAGTGTTTTAATGGTTTTGAACAGTTCTGAGCGAGAATCTGAACAGTTCTATAACATTTTGAACAGTTATAAATGATTCTGGACAGTTTTAATGTGTCTGACCAGTTCTAAATGATTCTGGAGAATGCTAATTGATTTTGAACAGTTCTAAATGATTCTGAACAGTTTTAGAATTTTGGTTTTTTTTTTTGTAATCCCCTTAGTCCCCTCTATATTATAGGGTTAAATATTTCATCTCCCAAAGTTACACCCTGTATATGTCGATAGTGATACTAATTATTGTTGAGTTATCAAAATGTTATTATCTAGAATAGTCCTGAAAGCGTCCTAAATGATTTTGAACAGTTCTGAACGAGAGTCTGAATAGTTCTAAATCATTTTAAACAGTTATAAATGATTCTGGACAGTTTTAATGCGTCTGACCAGTTCTAAATGATTCTGGAGAGTGCTAATTGATTTTGAACAGTTCTAAATGATTCTGGAGAGTGCTAATTGATTTTGAACAGTTCTAAATGATTCTAGAGAGTGCTAATTGATTTTGAACAGTTCTGAATTCTAAATGATTTTGGGCAGTCTTATAAAATGTGGATTTTTTTGTATTCTCCTCAGTCCCCTCTATATTATAGAGTTAAATATTCCATCTCCCAAAGAAACGCCCTGTATATGTAGATAGTGATAGTAATTATTGTTGATGGCAGAAATCGGAATAATTTTCAGAAATCCAATTCGATATGCTATCGCAAAACATTACATCGGCTCCCTTTCGAGTGTTGTTAAGGCGTGTGAAAAAGCGCCATTGAGCAATTAGTAACGGTTACTAATAGACACTTAGCTTTTCGAGTAAATATTGTATTACCCCGAGCTCGGTCTAACAATAAGTAAACCGATACCTGCCATTGAAAAACCTCCTATCGAACCGAAAATAGATACACGTCAATTGCCAGAGGACAATTCGCACGCTCGAATGTCATCTTATGTTGCACAATAAAGAGATCAATTAGATTATTTTTTTAACTCTCATTTACCGCCCCTATATGTTCTATATCACTTAATACACTATAAAATAAAAATAAAAAGTTTAATTGTGTCTCAGTACGGCCCTGTTAATGTTTAAATAAAAAAATCTACATATACGAGGGTAAGTAGAAACGTTTAGTATTCTCCTTACAAGTAGATAGATATTTTGGAATGAAAAAATTCCACGGGGGTAAAAGATTACTATACTTTACTATAATGGGGTCGATTCTGTTTGCAAATAGCAATATGATTATTGGCTATTTTGTAAAGATATTGTTATGTTAGCAATGTCCTAAGAAATAACCTATTCTGTTCGTGTAATTTAAACAATATGATTTGTCATTAGTAAAGATATCTTGTTATAAATCTTGCTATTTGAACAATGTCATTTTTGTACTTGCTATTTAATAGCAATATGGCTATACCGATCTTTTTTCATTACTATTTGAGCTAAAAGAATTTACATTTTTTTGCAAATACGAGATACAAGTAACCCCTTTGATTTGCTAAATGAAAAGTTTATAAAACTTAAATAATGCTACAGCTTTAAATTTAATTCAACAGTTGTTAGAAGTTCTAGAAGAACCATTCCGAAGAGATACAACACCTTTTCATCTAGAAATGTATGATCAAAATAATTACTCATATTTTTTTGGGGTTTTAAATTTTTTAATTTTTTTAACTATTACTATTACTCCCATTTGTTCCTTGCTTGTTTTACCTAACACATGAAAAGCTGCCTTCAATGGCGTCAATTGTAATCCTAAAATAATAAATTTTAGGGAGGATTCTTCTTTTTTCAGTTATATTCAGTTAATTACAGTGTTGTCTGGACAGTTTTAATGCGTCTGACCAGTTCTAAATGATTTTGGAGAGTGATAATTGATTTTGAACAGTTCTAAATGATTTTGAACTGTTCTGAACGAGAGTATGAACAGTTCTAAATCATTTTAAACAGTTATAAATGATTCTAGACATCAGTTTTTAATGCGTCTGAGCAGTTCTAAATGATTCTGAAGAGTGCTAATTGATTTTGAACAGTTCTAAATGATTTTGGAGAGTGCTAATTGATTTTGAACAGTTCTAAATGATTCTGAACAGTTTTAGAATTTTGTTTTTTTTTTGTAATCCCCTTAGTCCCCTCTATATTATAGGGTTAAATATTCCATCTCCCAAAGGACCGCCCTGTATATGTAGATAGTGAT